CTATTAATGATTTAGATTCAGCGAATCTCACCTTCATTTTAGTAACTTCTGATTCAGGCATGGTTTGTGTATTTTTTTTTATTAGTTTTCTATAAATTAAAATTCGCGATTTCAGCCTCCTTTCTGTTTTTCGTTCAATTACACAAACACACAAAGAAGTGCCAGTTTGACGTTTTTTCCCTGGGGTATGTTCAAGCAGCGGTATTAAAATTATAGCTATAGAATAGTGTAATTAGTCACGAATGTAATCCCAATGATACGTAAAACCGTAACTTAATTAAGAACTACACGCAGTTGTCCACAAAATAATAGGATTGATCAGTTTTGGCTATTTATCTTTAGTTTATTTAGGGCCAATTACACAACGTCTGGTTTAACACTAATCTGTTGTTGCATGGAGTCGAAGACGTCGATAACGCTGTTTAACCGCAGATTAGTTTTAACCAGAGTTTGAGTAACCGGCCCTTAATGTTTATATTTTTTTTTATAAAAGTCTAGCAACACCATATAAATTCGGATTTAAAATTTTGTGCAAGAATTATAAAAATTCGCAAATTTTCACCCAAATTTCAAACTTTTTAATCAGAACCTATAGGAAAAATTGTGGTATGCAGCTTTTTAGCCTAGTATATTGCGGTGCAAGTTTCAAGCTGCTAAAAAATGCCGTTGATTTTTGACAATTTTGTTTGGTGGGCAATGTCTTCCGTATAAAAGAAAATTGTCGAAAAAACTTGAAACACCTTCAACCAAAAAATGTCTCAAAAATCAACGGAATTTTTTAGCAATTTGAAACTTGCACTTTATTAGAATAAAATTCGAGAATTAAATGGGCTACAAAACTGCATACCACAATTTTTTCTAAAGATTCTGGATAAAAAAGGTTTGAAATTTGGGTGAAAATTTGCGAAATTTTTTATCATTATAGTTTTGACACTCCCTTAACTCTCTTACAAAAGGTTGCACACACACCCACACCCACACCCACACAAAGTACCTTGCTAAGGGAGCCGATTTTGTTAAGAGGGAACGAGAAAACTGTTTACCTTTTAAAATTGAATCATGCATATTCCTAGTCGGCAATGGCTGAGCGTGGAAAGAAGCAGCCGAAAGGTCTCCGCTTCACAATTTTCGGCACTTGTCTGTACACACGTTTCTGACGCACACTTTAGCGGGAAAACGGATCGTCAAAGTAACCGAAAATGTAATCGGTAAACGGACAATAATCCGCATTTCATCCACTTTTTCTTTTGCTTTTTCGGATCGATTTTCGTATTATTTGCTGACTCAAAGCGCTCAAAGTTTTCTATGTATTTTTTATGGGAAAAATATCAGCTTTTCGTAGTAATGGTATAGAGTTCTTGAAAATCAATATGTGCCATTTCGAAAACTCTGGCTCTCTTCAGAAGACTTCCATTAATAATACTCAATTATTTATTAAACCAGTTTTTAAAACTAAATATGTTTTATTGATCCCCCAATCGCATTTGTTGGGGTTTTGGCGGTTGTTTGCGGACCTATAAAATATAGCTACTATAAGAAAAGATTAAATCAATTGCGTTTTATTACTGGGAATCTCCTGAAGATAAACAAAGTTTTCCGATCGAAAAATATTGATTTTCAAGAATTCTATACCATTTCTACTAAAAGTTGATTTTTGCCCATATAAAATACGTGGAAAACTTTGAGCGACCTCTAAACATTTTTTGATATCAAAACAAAAAAATTGGGGTATAGTTTTTTTCGGTATAGAACAATTCCAGGGGGTGAGAACATAGAAATTCGCGATTTTACTTTTTCCCCACATGACATTTTCGACCACCCTAATGTACATACTAATCACCAAGTCTCCAAATACTCAAACTGTTTAAGAGCCTAATGACGAAATAGATGAATGCCATTTATCGATAATGGACAACGCGAATTAATAAAAGTTTAGGTTTTCGTTAAGGATTGGATTAAGTTAATTTCAAAAGAAAAATGAAATGTTACATACAGCGCAGATTTAAAGTGTTCATTGGAATGACAACAAAAAGTAATATTAGAAAACGTGCTTTGTTCCATTGGAAGTTGTGATACATTTCCGGAACCACTGCTATTTATGTATATCCGGTTGACAATTGTGGAAAGGTTTTGTGTATGCAACTTTAAGTATATCTGCAATTAATTTCTATTAATTAAAAATACAATAAAAACGCCACTCTATAAATAAATAAATTTTATATGTACCGGCATATGTAACTTCATTTGATTATTGCCGCGCCTAAATGGCGGAATAGGTAATGGCTTAAAACTAAAGAGACAACACTGGTCTCTTTTAAGCCAAGTTTGGTGAGAAACAGCAGAATGCTTTGTGGCCAAATACCGAGGCGATCGCTTTGAAAATCGGCCAACCGCAGTCGCAACCAACCTTCGAGTGTAAGCGCATGTTTTTAGCCTGCAAGTAAGATTTTAATGCTACCGCAAGTGCAACTGGAAAACGGATGCCCACATGCATACATACATACATACATACATACATTCATATGTGCAAAGTACAAAGATAAAGTGCTATGCATATAAACATGTTTTGCTTAGTTTATCCATAGGAAAAACAAGATAAGAAAATATGAAGTGAAGTGATAAGTGTACAAGTACATATCCATACATACATATACATATGTATATATGTATGTATGATGAGACTTTCACTGTGCTAAAGTCAATTGCAAAACAACTTTAATTATTAAAAAAAAACAATAAGATGGGTGTAGCAAAATAAAGAAATAATAGCGAAGAAACTTAAAAATGTGAGAATGCAACGAAATTGATTTCTTGACATAGTGCAACAGAAGCCAGCAACAACAACAAATCGTAGACATTTTATGTAGTTGTGTTAAAGTACCACAGTACCGACAGCAAAGCTGCCGAAAAAATTTCCTGTAGTGGATTTATAGTTAAGCCAGCATTTAATAACAAAAATTATATAAATCTGCATAATTCAAAAACAATAGCTAAATATTAAACACATACAAACATATATATGTACCTATCTACTTTCTTACATTTCCGCTGAACCCTCACAATTGAGAAGTTTCAAGAATCAAGATATAGAACTTATTTAAAAAAAAAAAGTTAAATTAGCAAATGGTGGCGCTGAGAGGCAAAAGCCAAAGCCACAAAGGCAGCAATTTTCCTTATACATACATACTTACATATTTAAAGCTTTGCCGTTGCCTGAAGCCGTTGCTCATTGCAAATAATTAAAGAAAACTGTGGTAAACTATGTACAGTTATTGGTGTCTATTTCAATTTCTTACTAGCATCTCTTAACACACATACATAAATTCATATTTTATGTAGAAACTCTGCAAAAAGTGGTACTAGGTTAAATACTAGTACAGGACCACGCTACCTTCTAACCAACACCAGTAACAAAAATGGTCCAATTATATATATATAGAGAAAATATGGTTACATTAACATTGCGATGTCATTGGAC